CCCTGCAAGCATAGCTTTCTACCTCTCTTCCGTGAAGGGAGGTTATGAGAGAGGTAACGACATGTTTGCCCCTTTGCCCTAGCGTTTAGGGTGCACGGTTGGGGCCGCCGACGGGCGGCCGACTAACACAAGGACCAAGCATTTGCTAGTAAATGCGCCTCCCTTTTCATCTTCCCCCATCACGTAACAATAGTGTCTAAAGCCAACACTCTCCCGCACACCACACACAACCCACCCACACGAGCACGCACACCCGTGTTGGCTGAAGACCTTATTGATACGGACTGGGAGGATCCAACTGACTATCTCAGTTGGTTGGCACCAAGAGTGCCACAGGCGCCCATGGAGATTGAACCCATGTTAGGCACTGACAGCTTCATTCATCCTCCTCCCTAGTGAGGTTCCCCATCTCCAGCTCCTCCTATGCCACGTCACCTATCCCGATCCAGCGATCCTGCTTCCCTTCTCTCTCTCTCTCTCGCCCCCCCCCCCCCCCCCCCCCCCCCCCCCTCCCTATCCTGTCCCACTATCCGGCTCCAGCTATCCCTCTCTCTCTCTCTGCGAGGAGCAAAACTCAAAGATGACCTGGGCCAATAGGGGTAAAACGAAAATACATAGGGCCTGGGAAAAGTTGGCAAGCACCGGGACATTTGCAGGGATGGACAGTACCTGGTAGGGGTATTTTGCAAAGATGACAGGTCCAATCGACGCCAGGGGCATTTCGCAAAATCGTTTTTGTGTCAGAGGGGTATTCCGCTATACTCACATCTTTGAAGGACATTTTGGCATCTATCTATAGGGGTATTTTGCAAATTAAACCCCCCTCCAAAAAAACACGCCAACCCCTACCGGGATCGCCACACCCCGACTGTCCACCTCTTCCAGGCCTGCCAAACCTACGTCACAAAAAAGCAGACCGACGTCTACTGCTCGCGCGTCATATTTCCTTCCCTACCGTAGGCATCGACGAAGCGCCGAAGATCCGCCGAAGCTGATACGCTAAAGCTGCGCCGAAGCTGATACGCTTAAGCTGCGACGAAGCATCGAGGAATTTGAAGAACTGAAGCGAATCGCGCCGCGTAGAGCAGGCGCGGAAGATGGCGTCAGCAAACCCCAGCCGTCTTATGCCATCAGGTTACCGACCTTTTTTTTTTTTTTTTTGATGTGGGGGGAATGGTGACCGATTGTCGCGATTCCTTGGGAGAGAGCTCTGGGAAATTCGTTTTTGTTTGTTAATAAATTATTTTCCTCTTCAAGAAGTATCTCTGGGGAGATCTACCTTTTCAAGAAAAAAAAAGGAAAATAAAAAAAATCAAAAAAATCTACCCTCTCAAAAAAAAATCTACCCCTTCAAAAAGAGAAAAAGAAAAAAAAGACCTACGCCTTCCAACCTCTCGCTTTTGTTCCTGTTTGCTGCTGGCTTTTACTTTGTTCTTCTTCTTCTTCTCTTTCTCTTTCTCTCTCTCTCTCTCTCTCTCTCTCTCTCTCTCTCTCTCTCTCTGTTTCTCTTTGCTTCTTTCCCTCCCTTCTCGACTCTACGGGTAATCCAGTGTTCTTGAGACTCCTGTCTTCTTCCCATCTTCTCGTCCCTCTTCTCTCTTTCTCCCTACGTTGTCCCGTCTCTCTGCTCTCTCTTCCTGCATCTGTACCTCCTTTTCTGCGAACGGTTCCGTCTTCTATTGAACATCTCTCAACTGAGCAGGCGCGCATGAATATTGCCGTGAAGAGCACGTGGCTGAAGTGCTCTCTCTCTCTCTCTCTCTCTCTCTCTCTCTCTCTCTCTCTCTCTCTCTCTCTCTCTCTCTCT